TGAACTTTAATAACTCCTATTCTTTTACACTGCAAGGCCAAAGCTTCAAAGGAAATTTTTATAACATCATAAAATAAATGTTTCCATAAAACTGCACTAAAGGTTTACAGTCAGCTGCATTACTTTTACAGGAATTACATGAGATAAAGCTTGCTCAGTTTCCTACTAACAAGCAATTTTTTTTTCTGAAACTGTAACTAACGATGCAGCAATATAGGTTCCACACAGGCAAAATCTTTTGTTTTCACTCCAACAAATCTCCCTGCTCTTACTTTTCCATTTTTTTCCTGATGACATAAAACATTAAAATTTAGCTTTCAACAGTCTTTCAGAATAAATCTGACTTGAATTTTTAATAACTCCTATTCTTTTACACTGTAAGGCCAAAGCTTCAAAGGAAATTTTTATAACATCATAAAATAAATGTTTCCATAAAACTGCACTAAAGGTTTACAGCCAGCTGCATTACTTTTACAGGAATTACATGAGATAAAGCTTGCTCAGTTTCCTACTAACAAGCAATTTTTTTTCTGAAACTGTAACTAAAGATGCAGCAATATAGGTTCCACACAGGAAAAATCTTTTGGTTTTACTCCAACAAGTCTCCCTGCTCTTACTTTTCCATTATTTTTTCTGATAAAAGACATAAAACATTAAAATTTAGCTTTTAACAGTCCTTCAGAATAAATCTGACTTGAATTTTTCCTAATATACAGTCTGTAAGTTTGCATATATTATTTATTCAAACGTTTCTTCAATTGTTCTAGATGCCTTGCATCAGCATCCTGGAGAATTAATACAGTGGCTTTAGACTGAAGTGGATTAAACTCTATAGTCATCAAACAACAGAGATCTATCAGTTGTTTCTGACATTTCTCTAAGCCATCCTTAAGCTTCAGATGTAAAGCTGGATCTTTTTTCAGCTTCTTCATCTCAGGCACTGAAAAGCCAATCAAACTTGTTAGAATATCATCAGCAAAATCTACTTCAAGATAAGCTGAACCATCAGAAATTTTTGCCTTTATACCCCAGGATCCATTGTTGCTTGTGAGGTTTCCAGTGAGAGTAACAATAAAACATTTAACTTTCAGAATTATAACAGCTTCTGGGTTTTTTGCAAGGAGAAGGGAAATATATGTGAAAGGTGGAGAACCTAAATGTGCCTCTACTGCTCTGAAAGGAAAGGTTGGAGAATCATGCTCCTGGTGATCTGCTTCAGGATCCGTTTTTGAGAAAAACACAGGATCATCATTTAACAGTTTGCTGTCAGAAGTGTGATGGGATTTACATCTGCTCTCTTCTAGCTCTGTATCATTCTGTCCTTCTTCAGGAGGATTTTCCAATGGAAAATCTGCAGAACTGCAGGTCTGATGTACGTTTTTGTGCTGTGAAAAGCTACTCATACTATTTCCATCTCCAGCAAATACCATTCTTCCAAAAGTCTTTTGCTTGCTGGTAATTTCTACAGGCTTATCTCTTTCATTCACATCATCTTTTTCACACATGCCATTTAATGATGAATTACAAGAGCTTGTAGATGTATGTGAAGTTCTCTCGGTAATTAAACCTCTGTTTCTGTTCGTCATTACTGGCAGCACTTTTCCCAGCTCTTTTTGCACCTCTTCTTCCAGAAGAAAGTAATCTTCTAAAGGAAAGTCATTTAAAGAGCCATCAGCATATTCTATGGAAGGTAAAACTTGTTCATCTGCATGAGGCAAAGGACTTCTGGATTCCCACAGCAAAACATTTCCATTGTGTGCAGTCAGTGAACTTGAGGCTGTACTAAAATTGTTGCTTCTACTGCCATATCCACTTTCTAAAGATCTTTCATTGTTTAAAGTAAATTCGTTATTTTCATCAAGACTGGCTAAAAGCTCTACATCTGAAGGGCCTAGAGTTTGTTCTAATTCATCCAAAGGCCTTGAAACAATTTGGTCATGATCAGCTTGTCCAAGAGAATTAGGGTTTTCAGTTTCTCCAATTAATCTAGCAAGGACTCTTTCCTGAGAATATTCTTCCAGAAGAGTATCCACTTCACCCCCCAACAATTTCACATTTTCTGCTTTAAGCAGAAGAACTCCAAGACGATATGCAATAGCACCCTGTACAGTGATTTTTGTGCCAGGAGGAAGATTACTGTGGAGGATGGGCACTGGTTGATACTCCATGCCCTGAATTTGATGTATGCCATCAGTTAGTTGCAGCATCAGCATTCGAGTAGGCTTTGCTTCCCAGGGCTTCTGGAATGCCTGAGTATTGGCTGTTACTTCTTCATTTACAGTATTTTTCCCTCTTAGCTTCTGCAGCTGAGAATATGCTGGCTGGCTAATATCAACCAGTGAATCAATTTGTATGGAGTAGAAGCCCGACAAAATTCCTTTGGGAGCAGCTAAGATGCAGTCAGGTAAAATGGGATATTCCAAATCTCTTAGATCAGTAAGAAGCCATTGCTCAAATACCTGCCTGTTAACCTGAGCTTGAGTTAAATTACTACCACTATTTTCTTCCTGGATCCAACTAATACATGCTTCCAGCCATGTCAAAGGAACTTTAACATGCCATGTGGATGAAAGCCAAGTCTCCACTTTTGCTGCAATGTTAGATGTAGACATTTTAAATGAGAGCGAATTTCCTAAAACAAAACCAGAAAGACATATTCACTCTTCTGACAACAGCTGAAGTTATGACAAGTCTCTCACTTGTATTATATAGAAATTTGCTCTTAGTTAAAAGTTCTGCTATTCCAAGTGTGACAAAACAGAAACAATTTAAATTAAAAACAGGTCTATAGATACTAAAAATGAACATTCATTTCCAATATTTAAAGTTTCGGTCAGCATAAAAACTATGTGCAGTTTACTCAACTTGGAGTATCATGCAGGTGTGGAGACATCCACAAGAAACCCTTCTTGGTGATTTCTCCTTTTCTATTGATTTAATTAGAAACATATAACTGAAATTTTTGCTATGGATGAAAAGCAAACCGACAAAAAAACTCCAAACAGAAGTAGGTTTAGAGAGAGAGATAGAGAGAGATAGAGAGAGAGAGAGAGAGATAGAGAGAGAGAGAGAGAGAGAGAGAGAGAGA